AATTACTCTTCACGCCCAGTACAAATGTCAGGAACCATGTTTCTCAGTATTGAACTTCCCTCCAGCCTGAGAACTTATACTCTCTCGAGTGAATTCAAACAAGAATGGAGTGTTGAAGAAGAGGGTAATATCAAAATCTCACCTTTTATGCCTTTCACCCTTGCCAAAGTCATTGAAAGAATTCAGTAAGAACCAGCAACAATTCTACTGAAAAATTTTCATCAGGGAGCTCTCGCTACTGCTCCAGGGGGTTATTTCTTATTCATTCATCTATCATTCATTTAAATTTAGCAATAAGAGGCTCCTGAGTTCTCAGAACATGAATAGCCGTGAGGGTTTCCATAAACCAATATTGGAGATTATAGTGTGATTTTTATGAAGGCCTCCAGAACTTTATTCTCCTGATTAACTAATTGATCCCTTTGGCACAGTGAGGAACCTGAGCCAGAGACAAGGTGATGTTTTGGCTTCTGAGGCATCGTGCATGTAGAATCCAAGATCATTTCCATTTATTTTAACAGCCTCCCACACAAAAGCTTTTGATGTTGCCCTGGGCATTAGTACTGATTTCAGTTTTTTATTTATTCACACATTCCCCTGTTATTTATTATGATTCATTTTTCTTTTGGCTACAGAACTCTAATAACAGCACATCATTGTGACATAAGCCTGCTAAGTTTTACAACTATTTGAGGAAAGTTGATCATTTTGTTATAGTGTTAATTATATTATATGTTAGTATGTTGGTAGACTTCAATTTGAAAGCATTAGTTAATGGTTGCCAGGGAGGGGATGTTATTTTCTTCAGTGGTGTAGCCACTGGTAAGTTGCCCATGCTCCAGTAAATAGCCCCCTATCCACACTCATGTAAGCAACACTAATTAAACTCAGTGGGTCAAAATAAATGACATGAAAGACTAATTAGGAAGAAGATGGAGTCAGCAGGAATGGGAGGGGATAAAAAATAATGAAAGGAAAATATGACCATAATATTCAGTACACATATGAAATTGTCAAAAAATAAAAATACAGTTAAAAATATGAAAGCATTAGCCCTTCTCCTGCATTAACTCACCCTTAAAAAGGCTTTTTTTCTTCTATATATCTCAGATCTGCTGTGGATATTGAACCACTCAACTACCCAGATGCAGACGTGCCAAGAGCTGAGCATCACAGAGCCACGGTAAAGCAGGGGCTTTTCTCTCCAGTCCCATCAGACTTGAGTGTGTATGTCAATAGTAATCCAGTGATTAACATGAGGATCCCTTTCTGGGTTGTATGTCAGTGCTTGATACTCTCTGTATATTCTGTTCTACATTTGTGTCACTGGCACAGTAAGTTATGTGCATTTGTGTTCAGATATGGCTTCAGAATTTTCTAAAGGAATACTCTGGCTTATGGTTTCTTTCTCCAGAGATTTAAATAGTCCTTTAAGTATGTTCTGCCCAAAGTAACAGCTCACCTCAACAAAGAACTATAGTTCTCTGAATAACATTCCAAATAAATTCCCTGATCCCTTTTTTAAAAAACATTTTATTAGCATTGCTTTCTTTAAGAAACAACATGTTGGGCTGGAGAGATGGCTCAGTGGTTAAGAGCACTGACTGCTCTTGCAGAAGACCCAGGTTCAAATCCCAGCACCCACATGCCAACTAACAACCGTCTGTAACTCCAGTTCCAGAGGAATCCGACACCCTCCTCTAACCTCTGTAGGCATTGCATGACACGGGTGCACCTACCTACATGCAGGTAATATACTCATACACATAAAAATAAAAAATAATAAATCAAATATTTAAAAAAATAAAAAATTAATAAAAAGAAGTAACATGATTACATTGAAAGACTTTGTATAATTTGGAGAACTTGCCCTGCTGTGTTTGGTCCTCACTCTCCTCATGATCCTGGGTATCCAGACCTTGATGTTGGACCTCTCACATTACCAGGCACCAAGAGGTTTTCCATAATTTTTCTAGTTCTCTCCTACAGCCCCAGTATACCATCACCTATGCCCTAATTAAACTTCTAGAGATAAAAATCACAATTTGGGAAGTTAAAAAACAGAAAGTACTATAATAACTAAACTGATAGAATCCTCAAACTAAAAATATGTAATTATATTTGATCCCTTTTTAAAAACAGTACATAAAGCCTAACATTGACACTGCATTGAGACACTCCATTTAACCCTCACACCTACCCATAAACTTTTTGTTATATCCCTTGGGTTTTCCTGAAAACATATCTTGAGGCAAGGGCTTTGTGCAGGTAGACTATTTGGAGAGTGATCCTTTGGCGCATGAATGAGGCTGGAGAAAGCAAGATAAAGAAGGAGTAAGAGCCAATCTTGAGATGCATTAATTAGGCACCAGAGTGGGCAAGAAGCACTCAGCTCTGCTTAGCCTCCTAAGAACTGGACAACTGTCTTCCATAATTATCTAGCAGAAGGGTGGGGAGCAGGGTACTTATTCACTAGTTTCCATGTCCTGAGGGCAAATGTTACCCCTAGAGATAGTAACTTCTAGTGTCAACAGTAGAGAAACTGAGGAAGTTTGGGGTTGCACTGAGGGAAGATGGTAGACAGAGCCAGGAAGGGTCATCCGCAGACACTGCTAAAACCTGATCACTTGTGAAGTACGTGAGTCAGGGTAATAAGCTTCTTCTATAATGATGCCACATTACAGAAAAGAAACTGAAGCACATGGCAGTTACCTCACTTGTCCAAGTCTACCCAGTGGGCAGAGTCAGGACTCTAATGTGGACACAATAGCTTCGAAGGATGATGAGTCTTTGTGCTAAAATTGCCATGGAGTTCTATTGGGAGACTTGTGTGGTCCACCCAGCAGCGCAACTCGGAATCCATCTTTGTGACATTCACTCAAATGTTGCATTTCCTCCTGGGAAAGGAATTTTCATTCAACAACATAGGAGAATGCTGTTCTGATGCTGTGCCTATATTCATGAGAGAAAAATTAGTCTCTTTCATTTGAGACCATGTGAAGAAGGAGATTCAAGGAGGGAAAACGTAGCTCACATAATTATAAACTCAGAAATAGTTTTTTAAAACTTTTATTAAAATGTTATTCTTCAAAGAGTATAGAAATACACCTAGTAACAACCTGTTAGAAGTCAACCTTCTGTTTCAAGCATACATAAGAAATTTATCAAACCAAATTCTGCTTCTTCAGAATTTATTGTGTTGTACATAAACATTATCAGGATGACACCAAAATGAGTACATTTGACAGGTTCTTCTAAGGTATACAGAATTTTTCTGACAGATTTTTCCCCTTGATAAGCATTCTAATAATTAAGAAGGCTTTGAAAGGTAAGCTTGAAGGGCCACAGCATTAACTATCAGGGCCCAGAGCTACAGATGGCATGCACACAGGGCCAGGAGGCAGCAGAGCCTCAAGAGAGGTACCAGCCCCTGTTTCTGCTGTGAGCAAATAACTCTTTGAAGTGACAAACACAGAGAGGAAGGTTCTCCCTCTCCAAGGGGAAAGTGTTTGGGTTCACACTCAAGAATCACAGGATATCACACTCAGAAGAACAGAAAGGATATTCCCTACACGTGGTCTGAGCTTCCTCCTAGGAGACGAGGGCCAGCATGGCTAAAACAAGGGCTGTATGGAATGTGGGCCATTAGGACCTTTGGAATGTGGAAGTTTGCCTGTGGGCCACCTATCCACCTCCCTCCAAGCTTATGCAAGACACTCAACTGACTCCACCATTAACAAGAACAAAACACCCTAAGAATAGAAATGCCTCCTTAAGAGGGAAGAGTTAGGTTTGAATTCAGCCTAGTTGACCAGTCTCAGGGTAGGCCTGGATCACTCATGAGAATCAGCAGGAGCCTGAGCAGCTGAGGATGGCATCCTCTCCTCCCACCCACCGTGGCTCCTACTGAAACTTTACCAGGAGGTGAAAAGCTGATCCGGGTTAGGTATTACTTTGACATTTTACAATGATTATTTCTCTCTGCTCTCTTCATCTGTCTATGGGAACCAGAGTCACTTAACACACTGAAATGAGACAGGCTTGTTCACCCATTTTTTGAGATGGTAGCCATCTCTGTCAGACTAACCAGTCTTAGGATAGACTCACCTGTTCTAATCAATTATTTTTAGCTTCATGATTCCAAAGGACCCCGTACATGCTACCTGCACTTCTTAAACACCTTTGTAATTCAAAAAGTTGGCCTACAACATTTTTTTAAACTCAATATATTCCATTCATACTGACTGTCATCTCTTGTATGAGATCATAAGGAAGAGAAAGACCACATGGCATGAGCACTTCTCACACTGTCCTTACTGATGAGCTTTTCTCCCTGTTGTTGATCAGACAGAGTTTAAAGGGAGGAGCTGGCAGTGTTTTCCAGTCAGCACTGATGGTGACTGGAGGAAGCATTTGTCTGAGGCTTTGGTGATACCAAGGTAGTATAAAGATAATCAAAGACAAAAAGCTTCCCTTGGCCTTGGGCATAGCTACTGCCATGTCTGTCACAGGGTAGAAAGAGCCATCCCTTACTTAGGACCCAAAGAGAGAAATGAAAGTAATAGCTAGAGAGCGGGCGGGAGCGGGGGGGGGGGGGGGGGGGGGGGGGGGGGGGCGTTTATTTTGCACAGGACACATTTCCCTCAGGGAAGGGAAAAATGTCAGCGAAGGGAAAGATGGAAGGGAAGGGTATGGAAGGGAAGGGAAGGGAAGGGAAGGGAAGGGAAGGATGTCAGGGAAGGGAAATATGTCAGGGAAAGATGTCCGCCCACGGGTTGTGAGCTGGGACTTTATATATGGGGGCTTTAGGGTGTGGAAGAGGGGAATGTTTGGGGGAGAAATCAGGGAGGGGGAAGCAGGAAAAGCCTGGCTCCATTCAGTCTGCCAGGTGGGATTAGGGTCTGGAAGTGTTTACTTTTTCTCTCTTAAGATAAGAGAAAAGCTTGTTGTGATAAACAGCTTCTAAAATCTCTGGTTAACAGGTAGAATCTGCTTATCTTATCTTTGGAGATCAGAGGAGAGGCAGGCTGCTTCTCAGCAGAGTTTGTTTCCCTTGACTCCAAAGGTCAAGGTGAGGTCCCTGTTGGGGAGAGGGGAAACTGCTGCTATTTGGAACCCTAACAGAAAGGTATTGTGGAAAATGGTAAGTCAGATGATTGAGGCTTCTCAGGAAACAGCATCAGACTCCATGACCCTTCCCTCTTAATGCACATGCTTTCTCTAGTTGTCTTATTCACTTAGTCAATTCAGCATCTTCTCTGTGGCTACTGCAGTTCATAATTATCGTGGGCTTCTTCAGAGCACCTGTTCCCTTTGAGTTCTCTGCTGAGCCCAGGGAAAGGAGGAATCCCCAGAAAACGTGCATGGCATATCCTAAGACCTGTTCCAAGCTTCCCAGCTTTCATTACAGAAAGAAAGATGAGCTTGATAAAGGACATGGATCACTGAGACAGATATGTGTGTGTGTGTGTGTGTGTGTGTGTGTGTGTGTGTGTGTGTGTGTGTATTCCCTCAATAAAGAGGACATTTGTTTTATATCAACTTCCCTTTCCTTCAGAAGCATCTGCCCCATATAGGAGGAATCACCCTATGGGTGGCTTGTGGCCAGTGTGAAGGGAGGGCAGGAATATATAAGTTCCCTGTGGCTCCTGAGAACTTATAATCCTTGCTAGGAATCTACCTTTGGAAAAATGCTCACTTTATTGTTTCTGCTCATCTTCCGCTCTACCCTGCCTACCTTGGGCACCTTTGTCTGGATAAGCTCTTCTGGGGTATTGCCCAGGGGAGGAAGTAGCCTCTTTTTGCTGTTGCGGGTCTCTGAGAGCCACTGAGGGGGCAACTCAAAAGGCCCAAAGCCAAACTGCAGAGAATACTTGTCAGGGAATGTCCCAGGTTCCACAGGGGCTGCTGGAGCCACCTGGGATATAGAGTCCACTGTGCCTGGGGGTGGTGCAGGGGGTGCAAGCTGTGGCCCCTGTTCTCCCTCCAGGCAGGAGGTAAGTGCCTCCTTGGCCTGGAAATCAGCTGAGCCAAGATACTTGGCCTCACTTTCTTCCTCATCCTCTGAGGGCTTAAAGATCTGCTGCTGCCCAATGTGGAACATCTCCAGGAGCTGACTGCTGGAGCGCATGCTGGGCTCCAGGCTGGCCTCAGCCACCCCACTCCCAGTACTAACCACATTACGGCGACTGTACCGGTGGTGCAGCTGTACCAGGGTCCCTACCAAGCATTTGCGTACTGATTTGTTCACAGTTAGAAAGAGCACAGGGTTTGCCAGCAGGGAGACTTTGGGAAGCCAAATGGCAGTGAGCAGCAAGAATACCGAAGTGTCAGGGACATTGAGCACAGTCTGGTAGACGACCAGTGTGGCATAGGGCACACTGCAGAGGATGAAAACTGTCACCATGGAGAGCAGGGTGGCGTGTAGCTCAGCCTCCCGCTGAGAGGCATAGGGGATGGAGATGGTGTTCTGTGGGGTCCTCAGCGCAGCAATGATGACTTTCTTCTTCTGGCTGGCACTCAGGGCCCGCCGGATCAGAATCAGGAAGAGGAACACCACAGCCACAGGCACGATGACCGTAGTGACATTATAAATCAGAACGTATACCAGGTGGCCCAAAGAGTTGCTCCAGACTTCGGTACAGGTAGACATGGCATAGATGTCAGCCACATTAGTCACCGCAAACACAGGAACACTGGCCACCACTGCGTGAGCCCAGATGTACATCACCAGTTCCCGAGACTTGGCATCAGATATTTTTCTTTCCAGGGGATAGAGAACTGAATAGTACCTGCATGATACATAAGAAGAATTAATTTCACAGGAAAAGATACTCTTGAATTTAGAAGAATCTAAATTACCAAAAGGAGGCAGGAAGTAAAATAGTCAAGTTCTTTTCTTCTGCCTAAGAGCTGAAGAATCCGAGAAGTCAAACCTGGAGTACAATGGGAAGCATCAATAAACGAAAACAAAACAAAACAAAATGAAAACCTTCTGAAGGAACAAAGAAAATCCCTGTCTTCATGTGTCTCTCAAGACTCTAACAGGAAAACAAGTAAATAAATTCAATTCATAACTAGCCTTATAATTCTTATCACTACAAGGACAAGACTAGAGTACCCTCAACACACAGGACATCAATCCTTAACTCCTCCTTTAAAGACATCTGTTTCTCAATGTAAAGTTAAGGGATAACATGTAAAAATTTTACATTGGCTAGATAAGCTTTAGGGAAATTTTAAATCCATTAGCATAAAAATTCATCTACACATACATACAAAGCAGACACACCACAGTTCACGCACTGAGGATTATTAGCCTTTAAAGCTGCTCAAGGGAGAAGAACCCTATGTGAACGATGGATCTCAACAAAGTCCAGCCAATCAACATTATGTCTGCCCAGTAGCCAGTTATGGCTCTTAAAGCAACTAGCAACTCTGAAATGCCTGTATAATTCATTTGTTGTTAAAATCACATGGTTTTTTTTTTCTTTCAAGCTACAGTTTGATAATTCTATAACCACCTAAAAGAATTCTAAATGTACTTTGTTTTTATATCATCTGGGAGAACTGAGTAACTTTTCAGATCCCACAACCATATGCATCACCAAAAAGCTGCCTCTAGTCCCCAGACGTATGGGGCATTTCTTCATGTTAGCTTTGTCCTGCTGTCAGCTAACACTGGAGTTGATCCCTCTGCTCTAGTGACATTCACTCACAAGTGGAACCAGATGAGCACTCACGACAGGAAATGCTGAACACCAGGCTGTAACCCTGGATTACAAACATGAAAACGTACACAGGAATGTCTCTGCACTCATCCAGAAGAAAGGCAGACATATGATCGAAGATGAACTAGGAGATGATGGTTCTACTGGAGCACGTGCAGGGCGCAGAGCTACTTGGGAAAATATCAAGGGAAAGTGGCATTGTGGTTGGTGGAATCTGATGTGGGAGAGCTCTGAGGCTGAGAGAGACACATTTCAATCATCAAACTGGCAATGGATGATCACAGAAGGGTGGAACAAACACAGTGAAATGGGTTCTATGTTTTTTCTGAGGAAGAAAGAAAGAGAAAATGTGTATAAGCAGCGCATGCTTTCAGAACATTTTGCCTCTGTACACAGATAAAATTTTCTAACCACAACTCTATAAACATGTGACAGTCCCATCCCCCACATAAAAGTGGCTCAATGAAAATGTGGTTCTTTTATACTATGTTTTACTCAGCAGTAAAGAAAGATGAAATCATGAAATTTGTAGGTAAATGGATGGAACTAGAAACTGTTATACTAAGTGAAGTAACAGAGACTCAGAAAAAAATCTAC